CATGGTCACCCAATTTATAGAAAAATGCTGATTGGTGACGTAAGTGTAATACTCTGCATTTTTCTGTGTTGAATGGGAGTTGGTTCTGAACTGACGACGCATACACCTTCTCCAGATCCTCTTGAAGTATTGCGGAGTCGTCTGGTGAACACATACAGGAGGTGAATAAGGTGAAATGTGTTTTGGGAGCTGACCGACGGTGAAAGCTCTGGCAGACACTCGGGTTTAGTAGATGGTACGGTGAACTGAATGCACGATCAACTCGGGCTTTGAACCACACCAGCGTGGGAGCACACAAGACAGATTCCGGTATGGCATAACAAACTTGGCGGACACGTAGACAATGGAGTTTCCGACAACATTCCAAGAGACCATACTGTTCTGCCTGCTTGAGATGGTAGCTTCGGAACGTCGTTATAACAGCTTCAGCAGATGGTGGCACGTGTTGTAGGGGTCCCTTAACATCTCGCAAATCAAAAATAAGTCCCCAAGCCATCGCCGATTTCGTCTGCTGAAGACCCAGAGCCTTCAATCTTTGTTCATAGGACAAATGGTGTAATCATTGAATGCTCCAGGTTGCCCGGCGCCATCGCACCACTTAAGGCGCTCCCGATTATATATTCCGTGCGTAGAGCGCATGGGTTGCACACTTACGAAACCAGTAGCATTCCATAAGTACCGGAGTTTCATCATCAACGACAGTGTTTCAGTACCCTATGAATATGACCCGGTACTACACAACTAATGATGACGTTGTTAAATAAGTAAAAAAGGGAAAACTGAGACATAGTGTAAAATGCAAGCACCCTAAGCAGTCAGGGTCAAGGCGCTTACACCTTGTCACAAACAACAGAATATTGGGGGGGGGTGATAAGGCAACATCAGTGAGACAGAATTCCTGCGGATTCCACTACCCCACGTCATGAACAAATAACGCAGCATCAGACACATTTTGAACAAGCAAGCCGGCTAATAAGTAGTATCAAACAAGCTACTGTCGTGTAAAGTCTCAGACAAGACACAGATTGGGTAGTATTCACTTATAGTTAAGAGGTGATCTTCCTCTCTCAAATCTTGTGACATCCTACATTTGGTAAGCAGAAACAAGACGATCGCAGGTAGGCGATGACCGGATACACATGGCATGCGCCCAAATCAATGTAATTAATTGAACGATATACATTGTTCTAAAGAATCAACCTATCACCGCGTAGTACTCGCATGCCCATGCTATCCGACATCAGCAATACTCCACAGATGGCAATTATTTGAAGGTGTATTAAGCCTTTGGACGAAAGGGATCAATCCTCACTCCGATGGAGGAGAATTGTCATCGCACGGTGGTTCAGATTGAGAGAAATCGCTGTCCGACGTCACAGATGTCGCAAGTTCAAGAATGCAAGTTTGGCTTGCGAAACACGTAAAGTTGTTTCAGCAATCCCGCACCAAACGCTGTTAATGCATCCGTCAAGAACGACCATCCGCATTTCATAGTCGTCAAGAGGCTGGTGGTCTTGAAACAGATCACTGCACTTTGAAGACGCGGAGTGCATGCCAAATGGCTGAATCATTCTTGATACTGCGATTGAAATTGTCTTTGCCACCCCAGGGCATGGAAACAAAAGGCGATATCGTCCGCATAAACGCGGTTAACCAATTTCCCCCACCCAGGCCCTGCAAGGGATCATTCCACGAGAAAGTTTGATGCAAATGGGGGAACTGGACAAACCCAGTGAGCATCATCGTTATGGGGAAGACTTCCGACAATTAATCGTAAATGCTGCCGCGACTTCTTTAAATTCCATGGGAAGATGTGTCCGATCAAGTATGTCCAAAGGAATGGAACGATAAACTGAACCGATCCCACCTTTGAGATCGAGGAACACAGCTATACTTAACATACTGTGGGACGTATGTTTGCTGAACCACCATGGTGGCTGACAACTTATGGATTAAGATGATTGAGGAATTTTCGCGACCTAGACTGGGGGTATTCGGACAATAAAATGCGTACGAAGGGGAGGTCTATCAAGGTGAAGGCTAAAAATTCTAAAAATGCGAACTATCCAAATAGGAATATTAGAGTGCGTTCGTTAAACTTGTCGCATTCAACGACTGTGGTTGAGCCTAAGGGGCCAAGCAAGGTAAGACGAATCCCCAGTTTTAAGCCGTGCTTTGCCAGATTATTCGCATAAGAATAGTGCTAACTTTCCGCGTGGCCTGAGATCGGGATGTTGGTCAATTATATTTGACGTAAGTATCGACCAGATTCGGCAGAAAACAGTCTTGAGAAACAAAACATACGTAATACAACTGAGTAGGAGATTTCATGAAATTTTACTGATTCATCCAGCTGGTTAGTTGGCGTGAGCCGTTGGAGGTCCTGGGTTCGATCCCCAGCAGGGAAAGGAGCAGCCGGGCGAACCAGCAAAACATACGTAGGACCAGAGAGGTGGGTTAGAAAAGTAGCACTTGAGAATTTACTGAGTACGTTGACTGCCTCAGAGGATTCGTATCTGGTGTGCCTAAAAGGTAGTAGATTTTCGAAGAAATAATGGATGCAGCGATGCGCGACGATTGTCTCAGGGAACCGTATGAGTTGTGCCGCTTCACGTTCTTCCGCCCGAACTACGCTCACCATCAGTTCCTGAAGACATTCTAGTTACAATGATACCACTAGATTCATGCATAGTCTAAGTCCCTAGAATTGACTTCATGTGTTATCTTAGTGCGGTAGATATTAGGCAAGTTACGCAAGAGATCTCACAAATCGGAGCAATAAAACTAGTGTAATCCGTGCTTGTGTATGTCCCTATACTTCCAGCAGTGTTGTCCTGAGTGCCGAGGGATCGATGTGTGAGTAAGCTTGCTTTCGGTGACTATGTGTGCGACGTGAATCAGATAAGAGTATGATTAGCGACTCACGTCGGATCCACGGACGACCTCGTACGTGGGCAAATGCAGCGAGATGAGTGGAAACAGAATTAGATTTCGTGGATCCACAGTATTCGTCAACCGCCCTGCGGGCAGGCTAAGTCGAACCAAAGTTGTTCAAACTCACCCAGAAAGTATACTATGGAATTCTCCTTTCCGAAACTTTCCCTCTTCTTACTTATTTTTGCTGCCAAACATTTTAAGGCTGTTTCTTGGCTACCCCGGTACTAGAAAAGCGCAATAAGACAAAAGCTGGTAGATGCTCACATTTCGTATTGTCTCACCAGTGCCAATACAATAATTTTCAAGGATGTTACCAACCAATCAAATGCAGTGAAGTGAACGGCGGCAATCATCATAAGACTGGAGTATCCGTAGGTTAGCAACTGACTGTTTCCGCACACACACACACAGGGCAGGTCTTAGCTGGCTTGTATTCATGGCCTCGGCAAACCGCAAGAGGCGTGGACTGGGATTACGTAATAGTCTGCGAAATGCGGAGCCGGGGTCAATCCCATAACGGGTCAATAAAAAAATGTCTGGTTATCCACGATGCTGACGGTTTGCGTGCACACGGAATATTGGACAAGTGATGGCTGACCTCACGTTTAATCCATTTGACCAGGTGTTCCTTCACTCTGTAATTCAAAACACTCCCACTCTTTCCTATCTACCTGACGCCACAGGTATAATCAAATTAGTAAGTACAGTGTGATTTGGCATTGATAAGGTTCCACTTCCTGTACAGAAAATAGCGACAATTTCCGGGTTCTGATGATTACCACAGTATCTACAGCGCAGTAGGTTCTATGAGTGGCGGAGATTAAGTGCTTGGTTACCCTCGATGAAGCGGTGTTACCCTTAAATGGGAGCTCGAGGTATACATTTTCTTTAGGTGCTATCAACACCGTTTCCGCGGTCTGACTTGGTTATGCTTCGTGATGAGGCGCTTATGGGGAGCGCTTTCCCATTCATTAAGAAGGCAACACGCGACAACGATTGCCATGTTCCGTAGGACAAATGCAAATCCGGATTTTCTACAGCTCACGGTGGCACATCATAAAGCACTTTAAATCGGATCGTTATAAGTTAGCATCGTTTGCGGCAGCATCTTCCACCCCTGAAATAATTATTTCCGATCAGCAACGTTTGGAAACACAGAAGCCAAGTTAGCAGCCGCAGAAGGCACCTTCTATTATCACGCTGTACCTCATAAGCACGTTTTCCACTCCCATGATTTGTCATTCGATTTTTCGAGCCAATGAGCTTCGCCCTTTGTGCAATACGTGATTCGCAGTATCCGGGAGGATTAGATATTGTCTAGAAATGCAGCTTCTCAGTTTCCTGCTAATCGAACATTGCCTCATCAGTGAAAATGTTGGAATGAACGCTCATGGTCCCGTCTGAAACAAATCGAACAGCGTAACCACATTTGTTTCCTGCAATGGAGATCAATACTGCGATGGGAGAATAGGCTATGCGGCAGCGAGTAGTCTTTAGGCGGCATAGCTTTTCGAAACTCCTTTCTCAAAACGTCACATTTCATATTTACAAGACCTAATTGTAAGGAATGCCCATTTTGCTAAGGTAGGTTGTTGGAAGTTAATTTTCAGTCTACAAAAGCGCTGCCAATAACCCTTTTGTCATTAGCTAGGATAACACTAATCACCTAGTGTACACTCCTTGCTCAGGCTAGTTACGCCTGTCGAAGCGCCACCACAATTCTACCGCAGTAGCTGGGTTATGAGGCGCTGCCGTTTCCATTTTGCACACCTGTCTCCATTTCAACTAGCCCATACACAGCGTATGTATCGAGCGGTGAAGTTGCCTTGTGGCGTGCCGTAGGTTGACTCCAACTCAGCCATCCGCGCATGATCCAGCGTTTTCACGGTGGACGACACTGGCAAGTACACGCGTACCCACATGCATGAATACGTTCGTTCTATACCCATGTGACAGGGTGAGAAATTTGTAGATAGACCAACAGTTGGAAATTTAGTGCGCTCTACCACACACCCGAAGAAGGGACCCTTTGTCCCGCGTTAAGAGAGTAGAAGGACCAGGCTTTTGGGAGTTAGCATAATCCAATTTATTTATCATGTTATTCATTTAAACGATGAAGCGGTCCACGCCGACACCATACATTTCTGGTTTAAATGAACCGGATTCGGACGATTGGCTCTGCCGAACGCAAGCCAATACGTACCGTGGCATAAAAACCCATACAAGATTTTATTGTTAATGTTTTACCAATTCGTGAGTCAAAAGGTTAGTAATTGATGAGTAAGCGTTTACCCTGTGGCATTCAACACGTTCGATTTCTGGTATCAAAATGGAGGCGATTTGTTAGAGAAGAGATTTGAACAGAGATCAAAAACTGATGAGAACGCAAAGAACATTGCATAATGGACGCAATGAGAAAATGAAAGGAAGAGGATATGTGAACTCTGAGGTCAGAGGCGAACAATGAAGCAGAAACGCTTCACATACAGGTTTGTATGAAATCGAACTCGATAACAAGAAGCGAGTGTGGCTCTTCAAGTAACGGCGAAGTGTTTGTGTGGAATGTGTGAGGGCAGAGGGTAAACGACTGGTTGGAGAACGGATATCACAAAGTGGAGTGCAACGGGGCACGTCACGGTTGACAAGGAAAGTGAGAAGGCGGGTTCGAGCGATCCACGAATCACATGGCATCAAAGTGGAAACGTTGCGCTTCGCGCTGTCGCTCTTTGCGATCTTCGCGTAGCTCCAAACACAAAAGGATTCCGATAACGATGACCAAGGCAACACACACACAAATGAGGGTGATAGCGATGTACAACACTTTCATGTTGTACAGTGGTTGTAGAAACAATCTGGCTGTCCACCTGATGGGAGAAAACGGATAGGTTGATGAGACAGGCGTTCAAGTCAATCACAGATATCTTGTACGGAAACCATAAATTTCCAGAAGTGGTCGTTGCAATTCAATATATCCCCCTGATATAGTTATCCACCTGTCCTATTGGTTCATTAATATTTGGAAGGTTTCAGCATCGTAAATTTTGTTAGTATAAGTAAACAAGTTTAGAGTGGCCTGCCTTCCATCATCATCACTTCGAAAATGACAATCTCCGAGGAATTCCGTTGAAAATAAAAACATTTGGAAATCACTTGGCATTGAAGTCGAGACCATAAGAATGAATTGAGGATAACTCTCAGCCGACGTCATGCAATGGTCGCATCGCGTGTTGGGCAGATTTTAACTCGTCTCTGTGTGTGTGGGCGTGCCAAAAAACAGTGAACCAGCTTGGAACCCATGTGGCGCTCACTTGTTGAAACGGAAAATGAGTTTGAACAAGTGCAGAGGCTTGAAAGTAATTGGTTAGTCGATTTGTTGGGATCTTGAGTCATTGTGTTTATATTCCCTACTAATCGCGACAAGTCAGATGACGACTTTCAATGATAAGCTGCCCGACGCGATACATGTTCAAAGGCATGGTGTCTGTGCGTTGAGATCCAACTCGACTGATCTAGTTCATTGAAGACGCATGATCATGTTTGGAGAGCTTACACCATTCCAATGTCTTACCGTAAGACAACCGGTTCCAAACCCTCCCCATTATAAATTTTATCACAAATTGCTGTTTCATGTGTAGGAGCATCTCGTTGTCCACCGTTTTGCTTAACATTACATTGATTAGTACATGGGAGCGGCGGCTCCTAATAGTAATAGGACAATGGTCAGTTCTATTGCGTTATCTCTGCGCTGGGACTTGAGCTGAAGCCCACTAAGTCTCAGATTAACCTGAACGACCAACGTGTATAGTAGGATTATCAAGGGGGTAACGTCGTTAGATGATGAATCATAATGCAAGTATATGCGTAAAATGTTTACAGAAGGTAAAAAGGTGGACAAAAATGCAGTCTGATCGAAAAATATAAAAGAGATAAAAGATCTAGTACAGGGGCTAACGTTTGAAAACTGCGGTAGATCAAAGAGAAGTAAGGATCTTTGAATGCTGCAGGTCTAGTAATTATTAATTAAATAAGTGACGACGAGGGAATACGGCAAGTACCGATGAAGCTAGGTCCTTCAGATAGTTTCTTCCCACTTCTAGTCACCGCAAAGATAGGCCAGGTGTATGTTAACCAGGGGGTGACAAGCGATTCAGAGGATTTGTTGCTAAACACATACTGAGAAAAAGTATACGCACTACAGAAACCGAGCTGTAAATATCTTCCACGGGGTCGGTCGGTAACCGAGTGGTCTGCGAGCCTGGTTTGCAGCCATAAGGCCACCGGTTCGAATCCGCGTAGCAATGGGTGTCCTCGCGCAACTGGTGGTGGTCGCGTAGCAGTGAAGCGCCGTTACGGCGTACAGCTGGCGATTTACGCGTGGCGGAGCTGTATGCTATCGGGCAAGTCCCCAGTTTGCGGACTGGGGAATGTCGTTATTGTGGAAGTAACTGCGTGTAAGTCTCATCTGCTTTGCAGGTGAGATAAATAAGCAGTCGCGCACAAGCAGCGGTAGTGTCTCAGAGAGTGAGGATTTCTGGGCTGGTCAGCTGGTTCTCCATCAAATACCACAAGAGGTCGTACGACGCTGTGTGAAAGCCAATGTGACCGGCTACAGGGTTACTGATCACTAACTTCTGTAATCAGAGGTGAGTCCCTATCGGAAGGCGGATGAACAACCTTGCTGGTCACCGGGTTCTCTGTAAACTGCAAACCGAACACAAAGAAAACGAATGAGCCACTTGGTTGTCAACGGTCTTCGTAGTCAGAAACCTGCGTGAATCGCCCTGCTGCCTTGCGGGTCATGTTTCTAAGGCCAAGGGCTCGAGGTGGGGTTCGGTAAATCAACCCTCTTCCTCGGCCTGGGCAACCGAGAAGTTCACTGCCCACGCAACAGATGAACCCTCCTAAGATTTTCGCTGACCGTTACTTTTCCTCCTTTTTGTTGTTTTTACTCATGTGTTGTGGCACTCTGCCAGTTGTTAATTGGCCAAGTGTTAAATACGATACAATGTTCCAAGAGCAATGGAGACGACGCTCACTCAAATATCAATAATCGAATCCTAAAGCATAGTGCAGATTATCTTTGATCAAATGATAGACAACTCGCCGATTTCACAGGCGTCAAAAACGATAAAATGGCAAAGTGGTCATACGAATGCGCTCAGTTAAGCATATGCCAGTTCAGCATTGGAAGTAAAACAGACTCAAAAACAACCTACGGGGTCAACAACATTAACCAGTTGTGCGTGAATGGCGACTGGCAGTCTGGGGTGCATTTTTGATGCGCAGAGCAGCTGGATCAACAAAAGATTGAGTGATATCGTCGGGGCCAAATGACTTACCCAGCAGCAACTGGGTAAGCTTATGCCAAGTAAATGAGAAATCAGAATGGTTACACATCCGCTAGACAGAATGACGCTTCAAAACGCTCCGATGAACGCCTTAGTCGATACGTTTGCAAATGGACTTACGCCCCCAATGAGTTAGAACGGTACTCAGACAATAATGATATTCCTCCGTTAATAAACGTTGCCAACTAAAACGCTCCCTACAATTCTACACTTCAGGTAGTCGCTAAGGGGGTTCAGATGTGTTTATGCTTCGCTTCAGGAATTCCAATTACCGTTTGGGTTCAAAGCCACTAAAGCGGTTTCAACAAGCACGCAAAGAATTGACCCGAAATAAGTGGCGTTGGATAGTTAAAGACTGTCCATATATATATATATATATATATATATATATATATATGCCGAGGCTGATGTTACATTCTTGATGCTTCCTCACCGCAGCTGGGCTAAATCAACTTACACTTAAACATTTACACAAAACGATAGACCGCCAGTGCTTATCGGTCCAGTGCTGCTTAGCATGTTTGTGAGCTGTCACAGATTAGGGCATTATCGTCCGCGCACTCCAAGTCAGGATGTCGCTTACCAGGAAGTAGCTCCACACCTTCTAGGTAGTGTCCAGCGAATGCTGACTCCATGACTTTG